AGGGACTGGAGGAGGACTTCACGCTTGCTGCAGGAGGCCCTGGACGAGGGAGAAGCACCCAGGGGCTCCCACACAGCACAGACTGTGCGGAGGACGACCCAGGGTTGCCCTCTGCTGTCTCGGGCGATCTTTACATTCACCTTTCCCCAACGACTCATCTCTCACACGCAACACAGAAAGGAACTCCACGTGCGTCCACGAGCTAACGGTTCCAGCTAAAACTATCACCTGTCTGGGTTAATGAAATATAAAAAAATAAATGGGACGCTCTTTTTTTTTTGAAATAGATGATCGGAGACAACCCCCAATGCACTCACAACAGCAGACAAGTTGGAACACTGGGCCTTCCGATCCCGTAAAGGCTTCTCTCAGCAAAAGGCTCCATCGACGTGCCGTGGGGAGGAGCCCTCGGGTGGGCGCTGACTCGCAGCAGCCCCACTGTCCGTGGGCAACGGAAGCAAACACTGCCCGGTCCTGGCCTGGTCCTGGTCCTCGGAACCACTGTTTCGTTTTGTTGGCGCCCATCGTTGCAGCCCCTGTGTCCACCCATCTCGTCAGACAATTAACTATGTGCTGCTGCTGATTTGCATGAGGTTGTCAGTTGTGTCACCCGGTCTCCCTGCTACCCAGCAGGGTCACTCTCTCCAAAGTGGGCAGCCTAGCTCTCCTTGCCGTCTGGAAGCTCTGCGAAGCCTATTCCCTCGGGGTGACCCTGCCGGCACTTGAAATGCCAGCGACAGGGCTTCCAGCCTCACAGCGGCACACAGGCCACCCCGGGGCGACAAAGTGGCGGACCAGTACTGGTCCTGTCCTTAAGGGGCTCTAGCTGTCAGAAGAGACTTGATGGCCGTGAGTTTAATTTGTTTTGATTGGTGATCAGTGGCGATTAGCTATGGGGGAGGAGAGGGAAGTCTCTGCTTAGGGGGCACGGAGGTTATGTTCCAAGTGGAGAATGATCTGGAGGGAGAGATTAAGCATAGCCTGGCAGCTTGAGACATGCGGTCACCTGGTACCTGTGAGAGGTGCGCTGTAAGCAAGAGGGGGTTCTAGAAAGCTTGTGGAAGAACGGAACTGAGAGAGAACAGAATTTCTCCACAAACTCTTTGAAGCCCCCACATATATTCCCGCCACAAAACATGGAGAGGTGATGAACTGTGATTCAAAACAACCTCAGCGAACAGGTACCACTGTCTTCATTAAAGGAGCCCTGGTGGTCCTGTGGTCTTACTTGGGCTGCTAACACCAAGGTCAACAGTTCCAGCCCACCAGCCGCTCCTGAAGAGAAAGATGAGGCTGACTGCCCCGTCCAGGGTGGGGAATATCCAGCCTATGGTCCATCAAAGTTAGCAGCCCAGCACATAACCATTAAACCAGCAGGACTCCTGGCCATCACATTCCAAACCAATTCTGGCTCATAGCGACCCTACAGGACAGGAGAGACCTGCCCCTGTGAGTTTCTGATACTGTACCTCATGAGCAGAGTAGAAAGCCCCATCTTTTTCCCTCCTAGTAGCTGGTGGTTTCAAACTGCTGACCTTGCAGTTAGCAGCCTGACATATATAACCAACATGCCACCAGGGCTTCGAGCCATCACAGTTGGGGTGAGTTGATTAAACACTTGCCCAGTTTGGCGCCTGAATGTTGTAAATATCCCAAAGGCCCTTGACGGGGTGGGGTAGGGG